GCTTCACAACAAAGTATGATGTGTCTATGTTGGTAAAGCTGAAGTTGGCTGGATGACACTTTGAACTTGTGTTTCTGATCTTAAAGACTCTTCTGGGTTAGCCAGTCAGAGAACCACATAAAATGATTTAGAGTTTGGCTGATCTATTCTAACTTTGCTGATAGTCGCACATGGTTAACAGTAGGGGTGGGAACCTCAGGGTACCTCACGATACGATACGATACGTGATACAAAGCTCACGATAATGATTATATCACGATAACTATTATATCATGATATGACGATTATCGATATATTGGTCAGAAATAAGACTCCCACTGATGACTGCTGTCGTGTCCTTGGGCAAGACACTTAACCCCACTTTGCCTGAAGCCCCCACTGAAAGATCTCAGCTCCTGTGGACTCAGTACCTGCAGGAGGATCAGTGAGGGGCTGGTGCTGTGTGCACTGGGTGCAGCTCTGACTGTCACCCCCCGACCCAGAAATGGATTAAGGGGAAGAAAATGGATGGATGGATGATCAGAAATATACCATATGCCAATTTATAGCATAAATAAAAGAAAAATTTTAAGTGAAAAAATACACTTTATTTCATGATAAATGGATTGGAGATGCGTAATGTAGTCATATATTAAATTTTATTTTATTTATTTATTTATTTGAAAAGGAGGGACAATACATATTAATGAACATTTTCACAAATGTAAATATGCCAGATTATAGCCTTAGGCTAATTTCCATCTGCAGATCCCCTGGCAGGTTGGTGTTAAGCATAGGTTAGTGAAAACATACAGAGACACTATATACAGACTATGTACAGAGAGACAAGGACAAGTAAAGTGATCACTTGTTAGAACAAACAATAAAAAGAGTGGACAACAAAGGACAGTATAGAAAAACAGTAACGGGAAAGCATCGACTGTATTGCACAAACCCCAATATTGCACATAACCTGACAGACCAAATATTGCACTGACCCATATTGCACCATTCTATATTGCACTGACCCGCATTACACTAACCCCCATTGTATAACCCATGCCCAACAGACTCCCTGTTGATGTAGTATCAAATGTTGACACTAATTGAAAAAAATTAAAAGATTGAAAAAATATATATATATATATTTTTTTTTTTTCAAAATCGATACTTGGCAAATGTATATCAACAATCGATCGCGGGAGAAAGTATCGTTATATCGATATAGTGTCACACTACTAGTTAACAGGTCTAATCTGTGCATACTGTACGGCAGAATATATAGTGTTATATAATCTAATTTTGATTTTGGTTTATTTTAATCTGTTTTCTAGTTTCCGAAGTAAACTTCTTCACATTCACATTGTTGTATATGTCAGAGGTTCACTGGTTTAACAAGTTTCCCACAGTGATGCAGATTGTTATATGCGTATACTAAAGGGACTATCATAAACACCTCATCCATCTGGTTCCTCTGCCAACCTGCTATTATGGGCAGGTCACCCATTTCACATGAATAAAATAAAATAAATAAATATATTTTCCCTATAGTCTCTTGAGCATTATAATTATGTATCAGTGAGTTATACCATTCTTTTCAAGCAACATTATGATTATTAGGATTTTTCTTCAATGGGTATTGTTGTGTTTTTGTGCAAAGTTAAGGTTTTGTGTGATTTAAAACAGATGCTTCTTGCAACGTACCTATAGATTTCTAATAATACTAGCCCCTCCTGCTTAGTTATACTTTGCTACCCTCTGCTGGCAAAAGCCTTAGCTGTTTCTTCTGTTTTCCATAGGTCGTAGAGCGGCGGTCTGAATGCTGGGAAATGTGCTTTTGAGCTGCTGAGGCTCCTGGAGACTGAGGGGAGGTTGGACTGAAACACAGCAGTTAAAGCCATATCTGGATGTGATCCATTGACAATACTCTGCTGCTCCTCACACTTCCACCACCAAACCACGTCGCTGCAGAACCTTCAGGTCCTACATTTGTTAAGCATTCACTCATAAAGGCTCCAGTGACATTTAAAGGCTTATTAATACCTATTGCTGGTCCTACAGTATTTGGTCATACCTTAAGATTTAGAATGGACTTTTATTGGATTTTAACATTGTTATATAACTGTAAAGGGGAACTAAACTCCTGAGCAATCCTTCAGGTAACTTGTGTTTTATTTGGCTGTTATTTAAAAGTCTTTGTAATGAAAGTTGATATTTCATTCTTTTTCATAGTGTGAGCATTCAAGAAAAACAGCTTTGATGGTATGTACCAAAATCGTGTCAGATGTAGTTTAGGTAAAAACTTGTCTTTATTGTACAATGCAATTTTATCTGAGCATGTAATCCTGTTTTGTATTGTCATGGCTTAATTGTGATTGATATATTATCTATTCTTGTCTTCCCTGCACTGAGTGTTTTGTATTGATGACTTTTAATTATGCAAATTTCACCCCAAATCTTATTTGCAATTAAAAAACCCTGGGTTGTTTAATATTGCCATCAGTTTCTATGTCGATGAGTTCAGGGTGGCATTTGTTAGACGATGGGTCATACACAATCTCATTACTGTTGCATATGGTGAAATGCATAAAGACTATTTGTAGTAGGCGGATTTTATCTACATTTCCCTTTCACTTACCAAAAAGATTATTATAGGTAGACAGATTAAGATAACATTATAGATTAACAGGCCGTTTTGTTTGTCTGTTTCCTATTTCTCTTGATTACCTTAAAATGTATTGATCTTGATGTAAAGTGCCAAGTGCCTTTTATTATTTTTGTATACATTTTTTTTTTTTTTTTTTTTTCTTAAGACGTCGATATGGTGAAATGTGACAGAAGGGGGCAGTGTTGGGTCAGATACGCTCCATATTTGATCACTACTAATAGATCCATGACTACACTCTAGTTGAACATTTCTGACATTTACATGAAAGAAGCAGGAGATGAACCCACCAACAGAAAACTGAATACTGCTGTAAATAATCAATACATTTCTATATTTGCGAGAGGCTACATTTATAGGCCACTTGATACGTCTTTTTCTTTTTGGAATCAGAATGACATCTGATTTATGCGTAAATAGTTATTTGTATTCCTCACAAAGTCACTGTGACATAAATGGAAGTAGAGCAGAGTCCGTGGGTGATATCACATTGGGGATACAGAGAGTTCACTCTCAGCTTTGGCACAATTCGCAGCATAAATATTTTGAAAAAAAAATATAATAAATAACTCTGCTGAACAAGTTCATGTGGGTATATTTTTACATTTTTGCAGGTTTTAGATAGGGTAATACAACCCCAGTTTTTGCCTATTATGTGGTTAATACGTAGCATCCCTAATATGATGTCATGGTCCACAAGTAAAACATAATTATGAAATAAAAACAGTAGACAAACTGTGATGACATTCGTAACTGTACAGCGAAATGTTAAATATAATGTTGTTAGCAGCGTTTGTGACATATGTGAAACCTGACTTTAATGTAGACACTGTGGACTATAGTCTTGTCTATGAGCCTAATGTGATGTATAATCATGTTGCAAATTGTATCCACACGTTCAAAACTAAAATGTAATGTTTTGAAGCTACACCAGTAAATCTGACTGAATTTACACATAGCGCCCCAAATTTGTACCATTGTCCACTCTGATTGGCTGCCGGGTTGATTGGCCCGCGCTCTGATTGGTGCAAAGTTTCTGGCTGGCTCTGTCTTGCCTGGAGTTCACTTTCGCCTGCGGCTGAAGTTTGGACTGTGGACCATCGGACCGCTGCTGTGGACTTCTGCCGCCGGAGGCAAAGTGGACGACCCCGGGCTCCACTAACACGGCTCTCTGCGAATATTATTCTAACTGTACCGCGCGTCAAGCCCTGTTAAACTTTTCCCCTTTCTATCTCAATTCGCGGAGCCGTAAGAGGACTGTCATTCAGAAACGGCACTCACGTGTTTGTGCTTATCCCTTTTATTGGACATGATAGACTATGGCGAATTTACGCACGCTCGCGTTTCCTACTTTGTGTTGACTTTTTATACACTTTACCCGCGTATTCTTACTTCAATGTTTGTTTTGCTTTAGAGAGAGAGAGAGAGACGCGCAACAGAAGAAAGACTCATGTAATTTGAGCCCGGTTTAAGCGCTTAATTCGCAAAATAAGTTTAGGGGAATAAAGTCAGGGGAGAAGAGGACGTGCATTGGACATCGGCGCATGTGGTCAGCTGCTGGAGGGATTCGAGCTGGTCATCATTACTGGGAATAATAAGGTAAACTTCATCCATTGACTATTTGAACAGTTAGAGCACTTTCTTATACATGTTTAAGTTGTACACTTGAATTAACTTTGGCTGCATCAATACAATCACTTTTAAGATGACCATGTTTTATTCCCAATATGTGTTATATGGTAATAATGCATGAAGGTAAAACGTTTCTAATGGACCTTATTGTATGTGTGGTAATATGTTTGCACATCTCAAGAGGGTTTCATACACAGTTACAGAGTAAATATCACAGATTTGAGATCCATATTGTGATTTATTTACTAAGGGTTGCAAAAAGTCTTCTTCTTCCTCTTTCTCTTATTTTTTGAAAAACGTGTATTACTGATTCGGGATATAACATCTGAAGCGAAGCTGGTGTAGTTCAAAGACACAGAGCAAGCTGTGAAGACATGAAGGATGGTCCTGAGGAAAATGGATGGGGCTGAAAGATTAAAACTACTGTAAGCAGACACATTCTGACAGGTGCTCAGAATAAATGTATTATGATAAAAGTAGATCTCTGCTTAGAATATAAAGAGATTTGCGCCTGTGATCAAGCTTATTTGAATTTCTATCTGTGTTTTTGGGTAGTTGTGAAGGTGTATTCAGTGTATGGGTTCAGTGTATTGTGTTTTCAGTGTTGTACATGTTATTAACACTAAACCAAATCTGTTCACTTTTCAGATTGAGGGGATCAGCTGTTTTGTTCTGCAAATAATCTAAGATGGACTTTCTTTGGGTCTTTCTTCTGGTGTTGGAGATGGTTCTGATGTCCAGTGCTGCCAGAGGTAAGTTGCGCTTCACTGAATCCAGTATACTTGTGTGAAATGAAATTAAATACAGAGTTGAATATGACATGGCACTTATCATGTCATGGTTTGGTGTGCAACTGTAAATTTGACTATTGTGTTTTTAGTGGTTGCCCACAGCTTTATCTTTTATTTTTTCCCTTGCATGACTTAGAGCATAATAGATGTCTTCTTGCATTATGGGACAAAGCTCAGGATGTGGTCTGTACAGTGGATATGGGGACAGTTCCCAGCATGTAGCGCAGTCAGCAGACGGTTGCGGAGTTGGCGCCCGTTCCCCAGATCACACCGACGATGAGTTTTCAGCGGGAACAAAGCTGCATTCAATGAAGCGAGGCCAAGCCCGCGCACAGACACGGGGCACAAAGTAAACACAGGGCCAGAGACCGCAAAGAGATGAGATTAGATTAGCCTATTAGAGATGTTTGCTGTTCAATGCTGCAGCACTTCCTCCCTCCTCTGTCTCTGTAGTCGTGTCAGGGGCCAGTGCAGTGATGGGCAGGAGGGTGGGCCCTGTTTGAAATAGACAATAGTGAGAAAAACCAACAACAAGGAATGCCAAATGGTATGTCTAGATTATGATGCAAAGGCTGTTTTTAAAGCCGGGGTACCCAACTTTCAAATCTAATCATTCTCATTCCGAGCTCTCAAAACAGTTCACTAGTTGCATGCATTTTGTGGCCTCTGTCACATCTTCAGATCAGCTTTTTCAGACAGAAAAGAGAAAAAGAATGAAAAAGTTTAGCCAATCAGCTTTCAGCTTAAACCGTCAAATAGTGACGCTGTTTCTTATTCTTCTTAAGTATGCAAAAGATAACATGTGTTCTTGTAAATAGAAGACAGCACAATGCAATCAAGATTTAATCCGTGATTAATGTTTTAGCGATGGTGAAAAGGGATGTATTTTGAGGTGCAACATCACTTGCATGATTCAATCAAAGTAAAAAGTTAAAATCATACTTTAGGACATTCTCTATGGATATACATTTTACCATAGTGTTTATGCCAATATTAGTAGTTGATGGTTACATCTAGGTAGATACCCTCTCCCATAACCTTTTTGAGTCAAGTTTACGGAGATAGAAGCCTGCTTGTTTTGTTTTTTGCCATGAGTGGTTGTTGATTTCTTACTTGTTTTTTGGCTCAAAATAACACTTTAAGATAATTTATATCTCGCTAATTCAAATTCTAGTATATAAATTAAAGTTTAGCCATTATATTGTTTTAAGTGACCACACAACTGCAACATAACTGAATAGATATGTCTGTATGTTTTTTTTAATCTGAGCTACATCATAGGTAACGATAGAGAAATGGTTACATAAGGAATATGCTGGACATGAGGAGAGTTGTGTGAGGAGCTAGAGAGCAAGAAAAGGACAAAAGAACAAATGTATTTATGCACTTAAACACTTAAGTGCTTCTATTAACATACGCAAAAGAATATCAGACACTTTTGTTACAGTTGAACTAAACTGTATGCATAAGTAGATGTTATAAAGTAGCAGCTGAAAGGTATCTGACCATACGGTGGAGTACAGTGGCTGCTGGTGTCATTTTGTGGCTTTGAGTTGGAGTGAAGTTGTGCGCCATGCGGCCATCTCTGTCTGTTGATTACTTGCAGGCTTTTGGCCATAAAATGCCATATTTAGATTCCACTTCCTGTTTTGTTTGATTGTATTTTGTATTTATGCCGTGAGCCTGTGAACAACGGTTACATAAAGGATGGGCATGAACTTTTCAAAGATGGCTCAATAGTATGAACCATAGCCATTGCATTTTAATGAAGTAGTGACCCAATGACCTCAATTATTGTCTATTTATTTGTCTGTATTTAACAATATTAATGTTCCACAATAGATTTAGAAATGAGCTGTTTTCATAGGCTCCAAATACTTTCCACTTCACTTGATCTGCCTCAGAGTACAATTAATATTAGTGATGTGGAGGCTACTGGGCTCTTCCAGAGAAAATATCGCAACTTGAAGGTGGGCTTGCCATGGAAACTGTCGAAACAAAGAACAATATTTCCTAATTTCATGAGAAAGGACACTTGAGGACATTTGGACATTGAAAGAAAGTGAAAGCAGACACTTCCTCTATTGGTCTACTGTGCTGTGATAATATATAGTCAGGGAAAATGATGACGAAGGAGATAAGAAGAACTCTGAAGAACTGCAGGGCACAAGCTTACGCAATCGCACTGTTGAATGAGGGCCTGGCCTGCCGGTGTACGCCGGGGCATGAGACCGAGCAGCTGATAGATTAGCATTCTCCACTGAACAGGACTGAGCTCAAATCTGAAGGGCACAATGTCATAGGGCCATTTCGAGGGATACTCTGAGTTATCCACCCACAAAAACATTTACTTTACACGTTTATCCAGTTTAAATGCAGGTCGCTAATTAGTTGGAGCAAAATAACATGTAGAAATGTGCAGTATATGTAAGTAAGTAATCTTTATTTATATACCGCCTTTTCAGTGCAGAGCTGAGTCTCAAAGCGGTTTACAATTGTTAATTTTGGGCATTTGTCGCTCACTCCACACAGAGATGGGAGTGGTGTCGCCAGTACAGGAGGCGCATGCCAGACATGCCTATTGTACATGTTTTTAGTGGTAGGGGAAACTGGAGTAGACACAGACACGGGGAGAACATGCAAACTCCACTCAGAAAGGCCCAGGTCCGACCGGGATTCGAACCCAGGACCTTCTTGCTGAGAGGCGAGAGTGCTATCCACTCAGCCACCGTGCCACCCATATGAAAAAATATAATTTGTTTGGGAGACATTTGGAGATATAAGTATTTAAAGATGGGGTGTCTAACTGTCTTTGTCCATTGTTTTTGCAACAGAAAGAGTCTTGTAAATGGAAAATGTTGTGAACAAATCAGACCACAGTATGTCTCTATCTCATCCCTGTGAGTCACTATTGTACTCTTTGGGCTGAGAGCTGTTTGGCTGAGTGCGGGTGGTCTTCTCTTTTGCACTTTTCTGTCTGACAAAAATGATCTTAAGATGTGACAAAGGCCAAACATACGTGCACATGAAAATCAGTGATAAAACCAAGCTGCAGAGCAAAGAACTCATTAGATAGTATTTGTTAGCATCATAGTTGTGGTTTAGAAATAAGGCAACTTGTACTGTAAAAACATAAATTAATTCAAAATGCCTGATGCAAATTAAAAAGGGTACATTATTTACGTCAACAAAAAAACAGTGGTCTTAAGAACACTGATTGTAAAACACAGAAAATTCACTACTAGTTGAAAAGGAGTGGGATGAACCGCTCTTTCAATGTCTTATTATATTTTTAGTTTACTTCCTTTTTGTTTTCTGTCATTTTTATAACGTTCAAAAAATATTTATTTGAATATTTTCCTGAATTGTGTTGTATTTGGACATTACGCCCCTTGTATGGAAACAAAAACATTACATTCTTCTTACTGTGCACCATTCGTAATCTCAAATGTTGTTTTCCTCTCAACATGCAGTGAGTACATACCCTCCTTCCCTCTCAGTAAATAACTTAAGGTAAATAATTACCCTTATATTATGTGCCTTGTTTATTTATCATTTAATGAAAATCTTGAACCACCGCTAATACATTCAGAGGAAGGCCGTAATCTCCCCATTTTCTTGCCAACTGTTCTTTACTCTGAGTGGCTGCTTTTTCCAAGATGTGGATGTGCTGTTTATTCAGAAATGGGTGATGTGCAAAGGTTTGCGTTTGTGGTTCCATGATACAGTTGTTCCTAAACATTGTAATGCTTTCCAGGTGAATGCGGGATAGACCACCCAATATCAGGACAAAACAGGAAGAACTGTAAAGACGTTCCACAGAGCTGCAAACTGTGAATGTGCACAGTCGACCTAAACAAACATACGTTCAGGTGTTAAGCTTGGAACTTTACGTAATTGATGAAGACACACATCGCAATCATTTAGCAAACTGCTGTCTCACACTCTCATTATTGGCTACGTCATTAGCACGTTCGCGTTAGACATAGGGGTAGAAGTTGGGGTGGGGTTAATCAAATTGTTTTATTATTTAATGCTTGCTTGCTTGTGGTCTTGCAGGTAAAGTTAGATTGTACTATTTGGTTAATTTGCAAAGTAAACGTAATTAGAGAAAGATCTGGCTGCTTGTATCTGTCCCAAATAAATACAACTTCACGATTTGTGTCAAAATATAATAGTGATTATGAATCTAAACTTGCCCTCTTTAGCATCTGCCCACACACTGTGCTCTAAAGGAAAACTGTCTCTGTTAAGCACTGATTAACTGTGCTATTACTCTGAGAAATCCATAACATTGTGGTGGCTGTGGCAGAAGAAGTGTGGCTTATTGGATGACTGTAAGGGCTTATAGGCACAGACTGAGCGCATCCCCCAGTCCTTGAAGAATAAACCAGTGCATACCACAGACAGATGCTCAAACACACAAGTTTACCTCATAGTAAATAGTCGGAGATCGCTCAGGCACTTTTCCTGCTGCTTTGTGTTCTGAGTCACAGCTAGGCATCGTAAATGCCATTTGACATGCTGATAACCATTATACGGCCCATGGGGAGAAGGGCCGGGCCACTGACCGCTCACCCAAAATGAATAGAGGTCAGCTTTGCCCATATTTGTTTTAGCACAGGGGCTCACTAAAGCTCCTCCTGGAGTCCCATATTAACACAATAGCCTATGTTATGCTTCAAAAAAACTAAAATGGGCTGTCCTCTTGATGCTTGTCTTCAGAGTGATTTAACAAGTTTTTCCTTTTTAAGGAACAATGCAAAAAACTAAACTAAATCTTAAGGGGCCGTTCTCACTCCAACTTGGCCTGTCAATGTTTTGTTGTTTCATAGAATAATTGGTCAATGGTTTGTTTGTCAAACATTTTGTGTGATATCAGTTCATCAATCTTTTTTTTTTTATTACAATACAATTTATATGTGAAAACTGAAAATTAGAAAGACATGGAGCAAATCAGC